CCCCCCTGCAGCTCCTCAGCTGTCACCAGAAATAGTTTTCGCTATGCTCTACAAATTGCTCATTACATTTAGTATGATGAGGCAGTCGGAATGGCAATACAAAGAGCAGTGGGGAGTTGGTGGACAGGCCACTGAATGTACACTTTTTGGCTCGAGAGTTTTTGTGCACTGTGCTACAAAGTGAAGGAAATATATCCCATGGAATGGTTGTCGGAATACACTTATAAATGGTGGGATCAAGTTACTTACCAGGCTCTATCTCTATCCCTTTCTAGCGCTTGTCTCTCTGTGCATGGTGAATAAGTTACTTTTCACCTTGTAAGTAAATTCACCTTGGCTGGGATGATCTTTGTAGGTGCTCCAGTAAGAGGCAGGGAGGGATCTTTCGTTACATTTTCTTTGCTGTCTAGATTCCCATTCTCCCCTCTAAATATTTCCCTGCCTTCACCATTCCACATCCTTTGTTGTGCAGTGCTCCCCTGCACTTATTATGCTTTCGTTTAACTTAATTGGACTGCCATATACGTGGGGCACCTGTTGCTCTGTTGCTCTGCTGCTCTCGCTTCCCACACTGCTAAGACAGACTCCTAATTGGCCATGGGAGGTAGCTCTTTTTACTGTTATGTTTGTTGTGTTGCCACTTTTGGAGCTGCCGCCGCTGCTGTCCCATCAAAGCAGCTAATTTCTGATGATATCCACAGGCGGCGGGTCAGGCATTTGCAATGGAAGGCAATGGCAGAGAGGAGGGTGCAGAGGGAGTGCAGAGTGCACCCTGGGAGTGCACTAAAAGCCTGTCGGTGGCTCCAAATTGAATCAGTCGCAGTTGGGTCGACACACTTGTGTGTGTGTCTCTCATTGTCCGTTAGTGAGAGAGTTCCTCTCTATGTCTGCTTGCCTGCCTGTCCGTACGTGTCTGCATCTGTGTCTGTGTCTGTGTCTGTGTGTGTGTCTGTGTGCGTGTCTGTTTTAGGGCCCCCGGGGGCGCGAGTTTGGTGTCCATCCTGCAATGGTGCGGTGCGCCGGGGCGACGTGAGGCACCTCTCATGAAATGTGACCGCAATTGCGGTTCGTTAGCTGCATTTCAGCTGGTCCGCATGCTCCCCCATCCATGTAGCAGCCGCCACTGAGGCAGCCTTGCCACCTGCACGTGCTGCCGCCAAAAAACAAACCCCAGCCGCAGTGAAGGGGGGAGGGCTATAGGTGAAGCCTTCTTCATGGGGGTAGCAATGCCAAAAGCGTTGTGCTTAAGTGGTCCCAGCGACCAAAAGCACTTTGACCATGCGGTGGGAATAGCCTGCCAACGAAGCCTTCCCCTCCGC